AAGCGAGTAAAACAACCGGCGACTGGGCAGTTTCCGCGTTTTGGCGTCACATTGCGATGATCGACGATCGTGCGAAACTAGAGCGATCTTAAGAGAAATGATGGAAGCATGTCTCTCCGTGTGATCTTCCCGATCCCAAAGCAAATCGCTTTTGCAAACAGCTGCAAACGCTGAATCGCAATGCTGCATCGCGCGAAATTACGATGCGCGTGGCGTACATTTGCAGGAAAGTCGACGTTCCGAATTCTAAAATTATCTTCGTAAGACTATAATCCTGTACGGTTATTACTTACGGTATTGAAAAATCTATAGGATACGTCACGTTAATCTATATAGATTTTCAGTATCGCCGGTAATAACCGAACAGGACTCATTATGTAAGGCATGCGTGTGTGCGCGTGTGTACCTCAGGAAAAGCTGCAAAGAAACCGTGCCGATTTTTTGCGTCGCTATTTGCGGAAAAAACGCGACCGAGAAGCCTTCTCTTTTTGCAACGCGAGAGCAAAGAGGCCGATGCGTCGCTATTCCAACGATTATGATATGTGTATATGTTATGGTCGGAAGCCACGGGCGCGTTACTAGGATTGACCGATCAATGCGCAGAACAACCAAGCGTCTTTGGTCAAAGCCCGAATGGATATTTGATTAATATATAAAATAGGTTGATTTTTTATCTCCTGCACTGGCTGCGTTAGTTCACAGTTTATCCTTTTTGAATTATATTAGAAGGAAAAAGATAGACTGTGAACTAGCAGTCAGTGCAGAGAAATAAAACAAAAACTTAATATTTCGTTTGTATTATATATTATCGTACACGAGTAAGGAAAGAGCGGAGCCTCTCCCTCTACACACCCCCTTTCCGAAAAAATCTAACCCAATCTAATCTATAATGTGTCACTACAATAGTACCATACATTGGAAAGCCGAAACAAAAACCTATTTCGGATTCTGACCATAACATATACATATATATATATACATATATACATACATACATACATACATACGCGCGCGCGCGCGCGTGTGTGTGTACAGGGTGTCTCAAAAAGATCGGGACTTTATCTCAGAAAATAGAAGTTTTACAGAAAAGTGTTTCAGACTAAAGTTGTAGGATTTAAGTGAATCTATTTACTGACTGAACTATTTACCTGAACTGGCAACATCGAAAAATTAAGTGAATCCCACAAGATTTGGTATACAAGGGTTTTTTGAGTCGCTGAATCGATGGGGGGTTATTTTTCCGGGGGTTATTTTTTTGATCTGACACTCCCCAACCCCTAAAAAATAGAATTTAGGGGTGAGTTTTTTCAATTCTTTACTAAACCTTTTTTTTGGTTCTGTCGCTTTTATTGCGGGATGAATAGGGGTTTAGGGGGTTAATAATTTTTTAGTTTTTTCATTTTCTACGAAACAGTTTTTGAATAATTTTATACTTGAATTCTTCATCCATAAATTCCACCGCAAGAGCTTTTGAAAATCTGATTTCAGATTTGACTGCCATTTTGAGTCTGCCATATTGAAATTTAAAATTCCAATGCCAAATTCAGACTCAGCGACCCCAAAAACCATTACATATCAAGTTTCATTCAAATCGTTTGAAAATCAAGAAAGTTATTCCATTTGAACATGTATGATATATAAGCAGAATTAGCCAGATTGTTTTTTTTGATCGTATATGATACATTGCCAGTTGACCGGTTAATAGATAATGCTAATACCGGCGATACTCTAATATTCAACCTCATAACTCAAAAAGTACTTAATGAAAATAAAGTTTAATATAGTGTTTTCGAAAGCTCTCGAATTAAGCTATAAGAATCTGCGGTAAAAAACAGAGAGTTACTTAAAAAAATCGATATGATACAATCAGAAAATAGACTTTTTAAAATTTTACAACTTTTGTCTGATACACTTATATTGTAAAACTTATATTTTCTGAGATATTCATAGGTTCCGAACTTTTTGGAACACCCTGTATATATGAATGTACATTATTAACGCTGAAAAATGAATATCAAACACATCTTCTCTTTGAAATAGAATAGCGAGACAGCATCGGTCGAACTTAACGATTTTTCAAGTTCGCCGGACGACTCTATTTGTATTTCGATGTGCGCATCACAAAAGAAATACGTACGTAGTTGTGCGATTTCGAAAAATGTTAATACGCAGTATGTATATTCGCGATCGGAGAGAGGGTGCGTCGTCGATCATCGGACGATCTGCATGCAACGCGCGCGCTTGAGCGAAACAGCAAAGAAAAAAGAGAGCTAGGGAGAGCGCAAAAAAGTGAGAAAAACTAACTGCATGCGAGAAAGAGAGAAAAACACAAGTCTGTAAATAATAGTGTTGTATTATTATTTATGTTGCTACCGTGCGGCGAGTAATAGTAAATTATCGTAACGATACGTAATTAAAAAAAAGAAAAAAATACAGACAAAGTTACAGAGAGTGAGGAGCGTACACGTACGAAAATGTACATAAGTTATAAGTATATCTCTCCTGGTAAAAAAAAAGGATACTTTATGAATAGTTACTTTTATTATATGTTATTTTTTATTATTATATTATTATTATTATTGAGTAATAATACGATTATATATTATTATATAATGAGATGATTATTATATTATCATTATATATATATTAGTTATTAACTATATTATCACTATTATAATTATAATTATTATTGTTATTCTTTGATCATTGATCTCAAAAAAAAAAAAAAGAAATAATAGTATATTATTCAAGAGAACAACTATTTCGTCTCTTTTAAAATTCGACAGTATGCGCATGAAATGGATGTTTTTTTTTTTTACGACGATGCGAAGATTTCAGTTTAAAAATGAGTTTTATTATTTTTCTGGCCTATGTACTCTCTAAACATGTTTATGATATAAGGTTTGTTTTGCACTGTGGCTGCAGTTCACAGCCTATCTTTTCCCTTCTAATATAGATAAAAAAAGATAGACTCCGAACTAGTGCAGCCAGTGCAGGAAATAAAACAACTTATAATCGCGAAGCACACTCATTCTCAGTGTGACATTTTGGTTGTAGTTACAAAGGGAATTTTCACGTATTCCAGAGCGCATTTTTTTGTATCAATGTTTCAAACTATTAAAAATTTAAACGTATATTTATATTTGCGCGACTAATCTGAAATATCCTGTAACTTCCGAATAGTTTTGCTTATAAGTCAAACAATCAACATATCGAATTATATTGATTCCACTTTTACAGCACCAACACAGCGGTACATCGATAAGCAATTATTCATGAACATGTTTTATTATATGAGAGTCAAGACATTTTTTCAAATCTTTGTATATTTTTATGCAATGTTATAGAATAATATTGTTTCAAATATATTATACAAATAATAATAAACAAATTTATATATGCAATGTGTAATTGTTATTATTTTATCATGTACAAGAGAGATATCTAGTAAGTATTTACTACATACCCTTTTATTAGAGTGATTAAACCTGCTTTGATTGACAAATATATATCTTAACCATAGACTATACTACATTGAGTTCAATACTACAGAAGAAAATCGGTCTGCTCATAAGAAAAAAAAAGCGAGCAAAGTCATGATAAAAGACAAAAGCTGCGTTTGAAGAGTGCGTGCTATTTGCGCAATTAAGGTAACTGTACCAGTATCAGGACGCTTAGGGAAGGTTACACCATTAATTCGAAATTGCTTAAATGTAGTAAAAGAAATTTGTAAAACAATCATTTGTCTCAAAAGATATGGCAATTATCTCATAAAAATAATTTTAAAAAAGTAATTTTAATCACTATTTAATATAAATTTTCACAAAAAAAAGAAGTTAAGCAAATGTATGTTAAGTAAATGTTTTCCGATTTGTATATTGGCTTATAATTAAGTATTATTTATTTTTCCCAGAGAACTACTGTCATTTTAAAACTTTACGGAATAAAAAAAAAAATATTGTTTAAAATAAAGAAGTGTACAAATATAAAACAGTTCTATGCACTTGGAATAAAAGGAACCACTTATTCTTTTTTATCTTAGTCTAAGTTTTGCTTTAGAGAAAGCACGTAAATAATGACGAGCAATACGCAGATTAGTATCAAAACCACAAATTCGTACAACGTTTTGTATTAAAAAAAAAGAAAAAAACTGTATGTTGCGAAGTCTTCGAAGTGAAGAATGCATTGTCCACGATTTGTTTGTTTGCGTGTACTCCTTGTTCAAAAAATTCATGAGGAAAAAAATTCAAACTTAGTAGATTATCAGTTCACCACAACCGTACACTTTGAAGCGCTGAATCCAACTGTTTGGCAAATTTCAAAACTCCGGTTCCGGAATCGTCTTTGTTGATCACCTAGAGGCCATGTGTCGCTGTTATCTTGCGTGACAGTCACAGACCAATCACGTGAATCTTTAATATTTGCAATCTGGTTGTGTATACTTCGGTTTCTTTGTTAAATATTAAATATGTATTTTCATTTCACATTCGTAAATTTTAGTTTCTTTTTGTTATAATTACTTTTCTATTGTTTATTTGCGATCCTGTAAAGCCCCTTGCACAATGGAAGGAATAGCGATAGCAATAGAGATAACACAGTTTTTTAACACAGAATTCCAACTCGTCGGAAATTTTATCGCTATTGCTTATTCCGATTTTCTGATCTGCATTGATACATGTGTAGTTTTGTATGTTAGAGATTCCGCTGTTCCTACCTTTATTTTTAAATATAAACTCTTTAAAACTTTTGTTATCTCTATCGCTATCGCTATTCCGTCCATTGTGCAAGGGGCTTAATACTTTCTTTATTTTTAATAGTTTCGTATAGGTGCCCTGTACGAGAGTGAGAAAGAGAGTAAATAGAGACAGAGACAGCAATACAGAGGCGTAAGGGCCTCATAGGCACAGGGCGTTTTGCGATAATGTCGACGACGGACCAGAAAACGGGAGACGCTAGCCCTCCGACTTCGCAAAAACTGGAGCGGGGCTCCCTGTGGAGTTATCAACCCCGTGATGCAGGGAGATGAGCCCCCGAGTAAGCTCATCTACAAAAGGAAATTCCGCAGAACGGGCCGATACGGCCAGGAGAAGGGCCCGCGTCGATACACACGTGGCCGCTGTCAATCATAGCGCCGAAAAGGGAAGAATATGATTGGCTCATTAAACAGCGCGAACAGGGAGCTTAAACTCGCCTCTTGTGAGAAGGGGAACGCTGTTTTCAGCGCCGCCTGGAACACCAGCCAGGAAATAATGAACCAACGAACGAGTAGTGCATTCTAAAGATGGCTGCTACTTTTAGAGTCAAGGATGCTATCAAAGTAGGAAGATTACTCACAAAATCGTTAAATATAAATTTGCAAAAAAATTTAATCCAACCACAATGCCTGAGACCAGGTTTGTTTGATTTTTTATTGTTGTTATTCTAATTATAGCGAATTATTTCAATACTTAAATTAAGGTTGCCGCTTTGCATCATGCTATATACATATGCATGTATTCTTATATATTAAATGTTATTTTATATTTTTATTTCTTAATATATTTAAAAAAAAAAAAACACTTCTTTCTGTAATAGTTTCAAATAAACAAAAATATTTAGTTGAAATTAAATTTTACAGTTGTTATCTGTCATTTGAGGAATTGGTCATCTCAACCAGAGGTCCAAACTACAGAATATCATAACATAATAAAAGATACAGAAAAAGCTGTAGGTAATATATAAAGAAAAAGTGTGATATAGTTTTTTTTTTTCGTGTTATTTATATATATTTCATAAGTATAATAAAATATTGTATCACAGGTAATAGCGCTAAACATGAGTTTCAATCAGAGACTCAAATGTTGCTACAAATTGTAGCGAAGTCTCTGTATTCAGACAAAGAGGTAATATTAATCTTATAGAAACAAAAAGTATGTTTGATACTTTATCTTAATACTTGAACTTTATATCGCAGGTATTTGTGAGAGAACTTATTTCAAATGCTAGTGATGCACTAGAAAAGTTAAGATACTTACGGCTAAGTAACAATGAAGCAGCACAAGTATCTGGTGACAGAAGCTTGGAAATACATATTGGTACTGACAAGCAAAATCGTATTCTTACAATTCAAGACACTGGTGTAGGTATGACAAGAGAAGAACTGATATCCAATTTGGGAACTATAGCTCGATCTGGTTCCAAGGCAAGTATAATTAAGCTTGTAAATTTTTACGCAATGTAATTTCTAAATTAATTAGGAAGGAAAAATGGGTATATTCATATATTTGATGCAAATCGAGTATCTTATGTGAAATCAAAAATTGAAAAATGTTAATTCAAATAATCATATGTAAAAATTTACACTCCTAAAATGATAAATATATATTCAGATATATTTATACCGCAAAACATACTGTATATTGGCTCTCACTACCTGTTAGAATTTTACAGTTAGCTTTAAACGGACAAGAAAAACACAAGAATACTTTTTTCTTCATTTTTTCAACGCGAATCGAACAAGACTAAAAAGAAGTCGATCGTTTCGCTATTAAAAAATTACTGATTAAAAATCTTTCCTCCATTGAAATGCCTGATTTTCGCATATAAGAGACACAGTGTGCTTGCGCAGTTCGAGCGCCACTTCGTTGCGCGTGAACTTGGCGCGAGCACAGCGTGAGACACTACCGTGCATCTTGACTATACGAGCCTTAATACTTATTACTTGATTCGTTGTAAATTTTTATTAAGTTTATTAATTTTCCACGGCACGAAAAGCCGGAGATTCCAGGTTCGACTCCTGACCAAAGTGTTTTTTTGCAATATTTAAAAATTAGGAGGATATATACGAGGTCTCTCATATAAGTGATGCAAATAGCATCCTATATGAATTTAAGAGTTGAAATTTCAATTTAAAAACATGTGTAAAGTTTAACACGTGAATACATATACATATATATATATATAAATTTCCGCAACAACATCCAGCGTACACAGCTCTTATTACCGTTTATATATTTTGCGTTTAGAAACCTTAGAGCCTAAAATTCTTTATTAATTGTTTATTAATATTATTAATTCCACAAATATATTAAACTTTGATTGAAATTTTATTTAAAGTTACAATGCGTTTCTGTTTTTATACAGGCATTTCTAGAAAAGTTAAAGGGAGAACAAAATTCCAATGACACTTCAAAAATTATTGGACAGTTTGGTGTCGGATTTTATAGCGCTTTTATGGTTGCTGATAGAGTAGATGTGTTTACGAAATCCTATTTAAAAGATGCAGAAGGTCTTTGTTGGAGTTCAGATGGGTAAATAATGAATAAAAAATTCTTTCTAGAAATTTTAATAGTAAATATTATAAAGTAACAAAATATATATATCTGCATTTTTTTTTCTCTTTAGATCAGGCGTATATGAAATTTCAAATGCAGATGGTGTGCAGCCGGGCACAAAAATTGTTATTCACTTGAAACCGGATAGTCGAGAATTCAGTGACGAGGATACTATCAATCGTATGTATATTAGTAATAGAAATATACATTTTTATATACTGATTGTGTACACAATTAATAGTGTATAATGTAACTCACATTTAGGCATTATCAACAAATATAGTAATTTCGTGGGCAGTCCTATTTTTGTGAACGGAAAAAGAGCCAACACTATTCAGGTATTATTTTTTAAAAATCTGCTAATCTCTTTTATTGTGTGCTGTCATAAAATAAATATTTCTCAACAGCCGTTGTGGATGCTGGAACCGAAAGATATTACACCGTTACAACATGCGGAATTTTATCGATTTATAGGAAATTGCTTTGATTCACCGAGATTCATACTGCATTACTCAACAGATGTACCGTTGAGCATAAAGGCTCTATTATATTTTCCCGAAGAAAAGCCCGCAATGTTTGATGTAGCGAGAGACGCTACAAGCGGGGTGTCTTTGTACAGCCGAAAGATCTTAATCAAGAGCAAAGCGGATAATATCTTACCGAAATGGTTGCGCTTTGTTAAAGGTGTAGTCGATTCGGAAGATATACCGTTGAATTTAAGTCGCGAACTATTACAAAATAGTACATTAATTGGGTAAGAGCGAATGTCTGATGTGACTTGTATTGTTTTATTATTACATATATAAAAAATTTAAATGATTTGTAGAAAACTACGAAATGTATTGACTGCGCGTATAGTAAAGTTTTTACATGAACGATCTGCGAAGCAACCCGAAGAGTATAATGAATTCTACAAAGCTTATGGTTTTTTCTTAAAAGAAGGCATTGTTACCAGTAACGATCAATCGGAAAAGGTAACAACAATCGATTGCAGTATATACAATAGATATGCATAACAGTATAGATGTTTTTTTAATTTCATGTTTTATCTTTAGGAAGATATAGGCAAGCTTTTGCGATTCGAATCTTCCGCTGCTGTTCCAGGAGAATTAGTCAGCCTACCACAATATTGCAGTCGCTTAGCGAAGGATCAAAAAGATATATATTACTTGTCAGCACCGAGGTAATGAAAACTGAGTTGCAAACAATTTGTACTAAAGTTAAACAATACTCTTTAGCTCTGTATTTCATGTTACAGCCGTACTTTAGCTGAACAATCGCCGTATTACGAATACTTGAAAAAACGAAATATTGAAGTTTTGTTCTGTTACGAACCGTATGATGAATTAGTATTAATGCATTTGAGACAGTATAAATCTAATTTCTTGACTTCCGTAGAGAAGGACATGCGAGATGATAGAGAGGCAAATAAGCTAGAAAATTTAGGTATGTATCAATAAACGTGACATTTTTTGAAATATTTTAAGAGTTTGATATAATATGTATGTAAACTAATATATGAATATAAGGTCATGTAGAGCCGTATTCGAGATCCTTCATATATGAGATGCGAAATTAGCATCTGATATGATTTAAAGAATTGTAATTTCAATTCTAAAAAACTCAATTGAAAAATATTACACGTGAATACATACATATATATATATATATGTAAAGAAAATATATTTNCTTACTTAAATACTCTTGCGTACACGAGTAGATAAAATAGAGACCGCTTCGAACGGTAGAACAAAAAGATACAGCTGGATAACCGCTGACACGTGTGACAGTTAGAATTTGAGAAGCTTTTTGTCGTTGTAAAATTATATTGTCGTTATAGAAATTATAAACTTTAATTGTCGTTTCTTTGTTTACAGGTGAGGGTGTTTGTAAATAATGTAAATCGTGCTAATATAATTGGTGTTAATAAAAGAACTTTGTTTACAGAGCAACACAATCGAGTTAAATAAATAAATTAATCCTTCAGGATAAATAAGAGTCTTATATATATATATATGCATTCATATATATACATACTCACACATTTTCCGCACAACACCCTGCGAACGGCTCTACATGACCTTATATTCATATATTAGTTTAAAAACTCTATAGAGCCCGAGAGTAATCTCTATTAATCACTATTGTTGAATAATGTATGTATATTATTTTACATCTTTTCAACAGGTATTATAAACAAGGATGAGCTGGATAATCTTGTAAATTATATGAAGAAGGTTCTTAATAAAAAGGCATATGATGTTAAAATGACGAACCGTCTAGAGTCGCATCCTTGCGTTGTGACTGTACAGGATATGGCAAGTGCGAGAAATTTCATCCGTATGCAGAGTCATCAAATGAACGAAGAGATGAGATATTCCATTCTTCAACCTCATTTTGAGATAAATCCAAATCATCCTCTTATCAAGAAGTTGTGTAAACTGACGACTACGGAAACCGAATTAGCTGATCGTCTAATACAACAGGTGCGCGTTATATTTTAAGAGCGTGTTTTAAAACTCCATGTTATTAATTGCAGTTTATCTACATATGAGTGTTTTATTATTATTATATAGTTATTTACTGGTGCCATGGTTGGAGCTGGCCTAATCGAAGATCCGCGCATCTTATTGACACCGATGAATGAATTGCTTACGTTAGCATTACAAAAATACTAATTGAATCTAAGGAAAAGAAATAAAAATCACACAAATTAAGACGTATTTTAAACACAGCTAATGTTGTTTTATGACTTGGGAAAATAAGAAAAATATTCTTCTTTTGTACATCTGCATATGGTTTCTTCTGCTTCGATGTCGTACGTTTGATTTAACACGTTGACTGTCACGGTGTGACCAGCGTTACTACATTTTTTAGAATGATTGATAATGAGATGAATATCATCAATTTTGAACAAAAACATTTTGAACAATGTAAATAACTAGAGAAACGTAAACAATTAGAAAAACGTTGTAAAATAAGAAGTGCTATTCAACAAATAAACATTTTTATTAAAACAATACTTTATAAAAATGAAATACTACGATGCACCATGTTTAAAATATTTCAAGCAGAAATGGAGCTGACTATTGCAATCTTTGCAATAATTAGGTAGTTGCTTTTTCTGTGCGATTTGTATTTTGCGTATCGAGATTTCTGACATTTTTTTGTAATATAGTTTACAAACTTTTCGCGACAGATACTCTTGTCTCTTCTTTTGAATTTCATGGCGTAACAATCTCAGGAATGTTGATTTATGATACATGTCACGTAAACTATAGATTTTCAGTACTGACAGTGAATTCGAATTTAGGAATGCAACCCAAAAGTAACCACGTGCACTGTAAAGCCATGGTGATCACGGGTGACCACCAGCAAGATAAACACGCACTGTTAAAGAATATGATCTTATTTAACCATTACTTAATATTTTATCATTACATACTTAGAATTATGAAAATTCTATTGTATAACCCCAGGCAAAACATATAAAACTTGAGACTGCATAGTAGTCAACGTGTTAAAAAATATACAACAGTTGTAAATGAAACTGGACACCTTATTGTAGGCAAGATTCGTTTTCTTTATTACAATAGGTTGATCTTGTACAAATTAATTATAGCCTTACAATAATAACAAGTCAAGTTCCTCATTTTCTTGAAAGATTTCTTGATATCGATATGTATTCTATTAGCATTAGGATTAGGTGGTATGGCAAATTTAGAAATTGTTGTGTACCCCATGTTTTCCATGTTTTTTTTTTCTTGTTGTCACAACTATAAATACAATTTGAACAATTGTACAGTTATATCTCGAAATCTGTTTGAGTGGCACAAGCAATAAATAATTTTATTCAATTATTTTATAAAATACATATATATTTATATAATGTAAACTTGTGATAAAATTATTTATTCCTCACTCTTTATAATTTTTTTCTAATGACACAACTCACTTCTCATATTGAGTAGGCCTGAAATTTAGAAAAATTGCTAAAAATAATCACAACACATATTTAAATAATTTTATATGTTTTCAATCAACTTCGCTTTCTTTTACTACTTATAAACCACGAAAGAAAAAGAATTTTATTAATTATCGCTTTACTAATCGTTTGTTACTAATCCACCAGTTATTGGACAATTCTAAAAGAATTTTTCGCGCGGTCTTCGCGTTTTGCGTAAGGTCACTAAACGACTCGTACACTATTTATAAAAAGTCCGCTGTCACATTTATCTTATTTTTACAGTCTTTGACCAATGTGCTTTATCGTTTTTTTTTTTGTTTTAAATAAAACTAATCTAAATATTATATAAATTTTACTTGTGCTTCATTACTGACTGAAATTTTATGGAGCTCGTTGATTTCGAGCTTGCTACAATTGGCGTAATTGATTTTCAGTACTAATTTTTGTATATAATAGTCTATACATATACATACATATTTTTGTATATAAAAAAAGCATGAAAACGATCAAACTCCCAAATTGTATTAATGTTGCTAGATAACATGCTTAAATTTCAGATAGTAGAAGCACAATCCAATATCTTAACTTATACAAGGACGAGAGACGATGTTTTTTTTTTATTCTTGGTCAACGTAAAAACAAATCACCCTGTTTAGCATTATTATTAAAAATGTGATTCGCTAATTTATCCTACTAAACACGAGCAGGATATAGCTGGTGTCCTTTACAGAACAGGAACATAAAATTGAAGTTTTTAACAAAATTCTACATGTATAAAAACCGTGTATACCTCACCTAAATAAGCTTGACGCTACGAAATATCGGTTAATAAAAAACGTATCCTAAATGGAAGTGACAATGAGTAAAAAACCTTAGGCATGTAAGTATGATGAGAGATTTTTTCCTTGATTCTCTTTTAAATTATATAATTGAAGAAAATGCATTGTTTTATATGGCATTTAAGAATGAATTGGCAGAGTAATAAAACGTATATTCATTATGATATAGTACACGAACAAGTTTCTATGAAGAATGAGATGTAAAATGGCAGATTGTGGTAAAAAGCGCGACGAGAATATTTCGCGCGCCACTGAGCAGTCTTATTAAAGTGTAGATAAATGACAAAAGCGTGAGACGTACGTATACAGTAGCACCATGTATGCAGATTTTCTTGGTTAAATGGTGACTGAAGAGTTTAAAAAAAAAAAAAAAAAAAAAAAGAAAGAAAGAAAGAAAAAGTTAAATAAATGGAACGTGACTTTTTTTTTAGCTTACGTATACACGGAGGAGGACGTCGGCCTCTTCCAACGCTCTTCTTTTTTTTTTTTTTTTTTTTTTTCAATTTCTGTTATAAAACGTTGAATAATTAACGTTGCGGTTGATATAATACACATTATAATATTTGATCATCGTATAAACATTATTATCATCACAGTAAAAATATTTTATATTCTTTTTAACTATTATAACTTTGCGTCTTTCACACTGCAACAGACGCGCGCAGCCTGTTGTTACACATTGTCCAACGCGGAGACAATGGCTGCTTTTTTTTTCACTAGAGTCCACTTACTTACACACTAGTTTTTTGCTACTTTTTACTCAATATATGCGTTATTAAGTAGTCCGTTGGTTTATTTATACGTAACCAAAATAAAGTCAGTTAGCAAATAGTAAAAATACATAAATGTACCTAATATGTATATATATATATATATATATATCTTTTGCACTGAAATTTATAGTTGTTGGATTAACATGTTAAATTTAAACGATAGGTCATTAAACAATAGTCATTGGTCTGACGCACGGTCGTGATTAACTTTATCTTGCTTGAGTATAATGAATCTTTTTCTCTAATCAATATAAATTTTTTTACGCATTTGTTTATGTTCATATTTTGCCGCGATCTATCTCTGTCTCTAGTAAAATCTCATCTCCTTGGTAGAGAGTCAAAAGAATACAGTTTACGTCATAATGTAAAATTCAAAAGGATATTACATTATGTTTAACCAAACAAATTTATGGTGGTAATAGAAGTAAAGACAAAACACACAGTGATTAGCTTATAATTGTTTGAGATTATCTATCCAACTATTAAACCATAAAATAAACATATTTGGCAATTACATAAAAACCAAAGCAGAAAATAAATAAAAAAAAAAAAGAAATAAATTTTTATTTATTTCAGCATGTGACGTGCAATAAGTTTGCGGAATTAAGTACGCTGATGCTTGAACTCTACCCGCGGAGAAGGAAGAGATTTGAGGCGCGCAATGTATTTTTCGCGACAATTTCAGATCCTATGTGCGACATGCGTCGAAACACGTAAAGTAGTTTGCACACACCTTTTCTTAGAGCTCCATAGCTGCCTGTACAGATAATTTTTTTATTCTATGGCTATAACACCCCTATATGTACAAAATGGCGTATTCACAGACATCCGCGCGTCTCGAACGTAGAAACACTGAAAAACGTGCTTCCGCACGCATCAGTTTATTCTCACACTTGCGCACCATCATTTGTCACACTGAGGTCTGCGTGATGCCGTTTCCCGACAACCATAGGCGCCCATTGCTCTTCTGATCCGCGATCTCGTATTCGGAATCGTCGATCTCGCACAGATTCGTAGAAAGATCGCTGTTGCTCGTAGCACCGCCCAGCAATGAATTTCTTTCCTCTAGCGTGGTGATAACAGATCCGATCTCGTCCTCCTCGACCACCTTGTGGCATCGGTTACGGCGGGTGCTAGGGAAACCATAAGGCACTACATCGTCTTCTTCTTCGTCGGACTCGAGAGTGCTGAGACGGCCGTTAAGCGGGTTTGTCTCGTTCTCGGTGTCGGTATGGATATTATAATGCGGTAAATACGAGTTTGGATGACGCAAATAGCTCTCGGAGCTCTTGTATTTGTATTCTCCCTCACCGCCGCTGTCAAGAGGATTGAGACGCTGCGTCTCCGTACAATGATACTGCTCCGAGAACTCGGTCCCGCATTCGGAATCACCGACATATTCCGATTCTTGATCCTCATTCAGAGTTTCGATATCCCTCGTTGGGTCTACCGGACCGTGTACTGTAAACAAAGTAAATTGCAAATGTTATATATATATATGCATATTTTTTTTACAAATAAGCGCAAAATATGAGCACAAAATAGTTCTTTGCTGTAATTAATATTACGTTACACACAATAAAATATTAAATTTAATCAAATCATAATATATTATATATTATATATATTTTATAT